GCTCTCTGTTCTGTAACCCTCTTCCCACTGACAGGGGATCCAGGCTGTCTAGTTGCGGTATCTCCCCAGGCTTCTTGGGAGCAACTCAAGCTAAGTACTTGGTTTTCCATGCACTTCCTTGATTTTTCCTGTGGCTGGTATGGCCTTGAGAAATAGGTTATGAGTATTGGGAGTAATGCAGTAAAACAAATGCCTAGTCTAAATCCGGTCCCCATAGAAGTGCCTGTCCATATGTATTTTCCTTTTTTTTTTTTTGGAGACACAGTCTCGCTCTGTTGCCCAGGCTAGAGTGCTGTGGCGTCAGCCTAGCTCACAGCAACCTCAAACTCCTGAGCTTAAGCGATCCTTCTGCCTCAGCCTCCCAAGTAGCTGGGACTACAGGCATGCACCACCATACCCGGCTAATTTTTTCTATATATATTTTTAGTTGTCCAGATAATTTCTTCCTATTTTTAGTAGAGATGGGGTCTTGCTCTTGTTCAGGCTGGTCTCGAACTTCTGACCTCGAGTGATCCTCCTGCCTCGGCCTCCCAGAGTGCTAGGATTACAGGCTTGAGCCACCGTGCCTGGCCCCATATGTATTTTTCTATATGACAGCTGCTGACCATGTCCATCATAGACAAGAAGAGAAATAGGGCAGTTGAACTACCGAGCTGTAGTTGAGGGGTGGGAGGTAAGGGACGTTCAGCCACACACCCTGAAGGTGGATAGCCAGTGGCGCTCACGTCCATGTAAAGCTGCCCATTCTGTTGTTGACCACACTTAGTTGCCAGCAGGTTTTCTTGTGTTGAATCTGAACACCTGTGTAGCAAATAGCTATTCTTTTTCTATTATTTTTCAGGAGTCCAGTACCAGACCTTCCTTTCCATTGGCTCCCCAATTTCCACTGTGGGGAGCCCTCCCAGGGCTGCCTTCCACTGCAGTCTTCCTCTACCAAAGTTGAGGTGCAGATCCTCCTTCTCCTGCCCATGCCAGGACCCTGCAGCCTGGCCTCTGGGGTCCCCTTGGTGTCCACCCATTTTCTACCCTCTCCATTTCCTCTGTGAGCCCATTTAGGCGATCCCTAAAAGTTCCCTTTTGCTTAAGAAACCAGTCCCAAGTCAGTAATACTTGCCACAGTTGCATCTTGTCATCTCTGCTCATTGGTGCCAATGCCACATGCAGAACAAACCGACACCATCATCCACACTGGCAGTACTTCAGGGTTGTATGAACAGGGGATTCTCTGGAGGGGGGTTTACCTCCTCTGATATAGAAATACAGTTTAATAGATACTGCTTCTGACTGTAGATTTTTTAGGAGCTGTACCTCACTTATGTCAATTATGTCCCAGACAGTGTTGTCAAATTTGGTCTTTCTCATTCTGTTCTGGTTATTTTAACACAAAGACAAATGTATAAATGGACATACGTTGTTGTTTTGTCTGCTCACTGCTTGTCCCTGTCCCGTGTGGTTCCTGCAGGGCTGGCGATCCCAGCTTCCCACCCTATCCCCATCTATGCGTAGAAGCATGTGCCCTGGGCATGGCCAAGCAGACCACCTCATACCCCTGGCAACAACTGAGCATGTGACTGAGGAATCTTTCTCTACCATCGGAATACCCAGAAGTTCTCTTTTGCTGGTGGTCCTCAGCTCAGACAACATAAATGTGGGCTACAAGTGACACTTTCTCCAGCTGTGTGAAGGAAGTCCTTTTCCAGTGGGAGAAGAAGAGGGTAGCCCTCTGTAGAAAAGCAGAGCTTAAAGACAGAGAGAAAGAGAGTCCCACAGTGACACTGATTGAACTCCTGGGTCTAGCTTTGCCTGAGCCAGTAAATATCCTTTCTGTTTAAGTTGGTTTGAATCAGTTTTTTGCCACTTTCCAAGTGGATAAGGCCTGACATAATTACATCTTTAAAAATTAGAATGCAAATAATATATTTTAATTACGGAAAATAAGGACATTTAAAAAGAAAACCCCCAAATCATTCCTAATCCTATTTTTTAGTTATATATAAAAAAAGGGCACCATACCTTATATTCTTTTGTGTGTATGTGTTGTGTTGTAGATTGTAAAATATAGCCACACATTCCTCCATCTAGTATGTAACATGAAGTTGCTGTGCCTCATATGCAAAGATGGAGTTTATTTCTCTCTCCCTTGAATCTTAGCCTTGTGACTTACTGGAACATTAGAATGCAGCAGGAGATGTATATGACCTTCAGATGCCAGCCCAGACTTCTGGAAGATGTGACCAACATGGTCCAGCCCACAGCCAGTCCCGTGAGGGAGGTCATCTTGAACCCTCCAGCCCCACCCTACCTCCATGGGAATCCCACTGTGGAGGCACTGCTCAGGTAACCCTCAGAATCATGAGAATTAATACATCTTAATTGTTTTAAACCACTAGGATTTGGAGTGAATTATGCAGCAAAAGCTGAGACCAATGGTGTCTTGCATTTTTCATATAATTGCACATAACCATTTCCCTGTGTTATTAAATATACATTAAGGTTCTTGTGGTTACAAACATCAGAAACCAACCCCAGCTACCTTAAACAAGAGGGAAATGCATTAGAATGTTTCTGAAGTACGTCAAGGAACAGAAGGTAAAGTTGGGAAGGGGAGAATTCAGGGCCAGAAAACTGCCATTGAGAATCCAGTGCGAATGACTTCTTGACAAGTAACCTCAAGTTGTCAGAACAGGCAGTCTGACCGGCCCACCTGGGCCAGGGCCCACCTCTAGATCATTTAATTATGATTGTGGGGGTAGGGACAGCCCAACTGCAGACACAGATGTGAAAAATTAGGTTTAGTAGTGGAAATTCTAATATGGAAGCCAGAAAGGGTAAGTCACTCATGGCCTGGGCCTGCTTTTAAACTGCTAAATACGTTTTGTTTTCAAATCTTTTTTTTTTTTTTTGAGACAGAGTCTCACTGTGTTGCCGGGCTAGAGTGCCGTGGCATCATCCTAGCTCATAGCAACCTCCAACTCCTGGGCTCAAGCGATCCTTCTGCCTCAGCCTCCCGAGTAGCTGGGACTACAGGCATGTGCCACCATGCCCGGCTAATTTTTTTTTCTTTAGTTGTACAATTAATTTCTTTCTATTTTTAGTAGAGACGGGGGTCTCGCTCTTTCTCAGGCTGATTTCGAACTGCTGAGCTCAAATAATCCTCCCACCTCGGCCTCCCAGAGTGCTAGGATTACAGGCGTGAGCCACCGCACCCGGCCTGTTTTCAAATCTTTATGTAGCTTCTGTATCAAGGCTCCTTTTAAAAAAAGGGGGAGTGGGAATAACTAGCAGGAGGTCACTTTTGAAACCGTAACAACAAATGGGTTAACCTTGTATACTTCTGCACAATGCAACGGAATCTGTGAAGGTTTTTGTCAACAGAAAAGAACTGAAAGTCTGTAAAATAATTTAAAGAGGTTTATTCGGAACTGAATATGTGTGATCATGGCCTGGAGAGCCACACCCAAGAAGTCTTGAGCAAGCAGTGAGTTGGTTTTACACGTTTCGGGGAAACAGGAATTGCATGTAAAGGCGTAAATGAGTACACGGAAGGTGTACATTGGTTTGGCCCAGAAAGTCAGGACCTATGGAAGAGGGGCATTACAGGTTATAGGTGGGTTTAAAGGTCATTTGATTTGCAATTGGTTAAAGAAATGACACTTTGTCTAAAGGCTTGGAATGTTTTAAGGAAGTCTGTTAATAAGAGACAAGCCAGAAAAATACCCAGACTCAAGTGATCCGTTAAGTAAATGGATGACCTGCAGGTGGGGCTTAAGGTTTGCCATGTATATAGCCTTAGACCTGTTAATGTGTTAGTTACAAAGGATGTTTCCAAAGAGTGGGATGACGAGACAGGTCCGACCTCCCTTCTCATGGCCAGCAACTAGGCTTCAGGGTATTATTTCTAGGCCAACCGGGGATCCATTCAGTCTGCTGGGGTACTTAAGATTTTATTTTATTCACAGTTTTATGTGCAAACAGGTCTCTGAGCCAGTGGCATGGTTTTAATCAATATTTTAAAGTTTGGAGGATGCAGACAAGGAGTTGCACTGAAACAAAAAAAGCGAGAGTAACAGGTGTGAACACAGCGAAAGGAAACTAGGGTTGACTGGTAGACTTAGAATGGGGACACAGGGTCGCTCAGGGCCGCATCGCTCACTGGACAGAGACGGCACCTGCTGCCCCTAATTGACGCCTCCTGCAGAGTGACGCGTGCCTGGGGCAGTGTTTGCTAGGACCTGGGTGCGCCGGCGCCTTGAATGGGTGGGCCAGGGAGCTGGGCCTGGGCCCCTCAAACGGGCGGGCTCACCTGCACCCAGGCGCGTCGAGCTCTGCACCGAAGCAGGAGCCCCCACCGAGCGGGTCGGAGGGCCCGGGGCCGGGAGTGCGCGGGGGAGGCGTCTGCTCCGGGACTGAGGCGGCGCCTTCGCCTCCCGGCAGCCGCAGGAACGCGGGCCGCGGCGGCGACATCTCGCTCGGGAGGGAAGCGCGGGGGAGAGCGAGCCACGCTTTAGCTGCTGCGCCACGCGCGTGGCGGGCCGGGGCGCGGAGGATCCGCCAGGCGCAGCGGGGCTGGGGGCGCAGGCCAGGCCAGCGCGGCAGGAGGAGGTAAGGTCGCCGGCTGCCCAGCCGGGCCGCGCGCCTCGCTTGGGAGGGCGTCTCCGGGAACCCTGGGGCCACCGGATCCCCGGACCTCCCTCGCCCTCACTCCTCCCCCCGCTCAACCCCCGGTGTCCCTCCCCTGCCCTCTTGCCCCAGCCTCTGCTTTCCAGCCCCGCAGCCGCCCTCCCGACGCCCAGCAGGCGGGTTCGCGCCGACCTGAAGCCCACCTGGGCTCCCGCTGCAGCTCTCGGGGCCCAGACCCGACCTGAAAGGCCTCCCGCCGGGGGCGGGGCCGCCCCGCCCGGGACCGCCCCTCTGGGCGGGGCTCCGAGTTTAAACGGTGCGGCGGGCCGGCGGGGCCTCACCTGTGCGCCCCGTGGCCGGTCCGCGGGCGGCGCGGCGTCATGTCCCCCGGCAGCAAGGCGAAGACGGAGTACATGAAGAGCTACCAGGAGCCGCGCTGGGAGGAGCACGGGCGCTACTACCGCGAGCTGCTGCACTACCGCTGGGGCCGCCGGCTGCTGGAGCAGGCTCACGTGCCCTGGCTCTGGGACGACGGGGGCCCGGCCGGCGCCTCGGACCACTGGGCTTCGTCAGAGTCATCGGGCGCCGGGGGCCCCGCGCCCCAGTGCGGCCTGGCCTCGCCCACGCCGTCCGAGGAGCCCGCGGCGGGGGAGGAGACGGGGCCGCAGGTGCGCGGGTCCCCGGAGGAGGAGCGCGCGGAAGCCGGGCACGCGAAGGCCGCGGACACGCCTCTGCCAGGTACGGGGCCTGGAGGGGCACGCGCTTCCTTTTGTTTTTCTTGGCAGACGGGGATTCCGCCTCCCTTGACAAAATAAGGACGGTGGCAGCCCCGCCTCCGCCTTCCCACCCTTCCGCGCGTGCCTTAACCGGCTCTTGGCCGTGCTAGCTGTGAACTCGACTGAAGTGCCGCTGGCTAAGTCCAGGTCTTTCCTCGCGGGCCTCGGCCGGCCTCCAGCTCCCATCTATTTATTCTAAGCGCCCATTTTTGCTGAGAGGATCCCCAGCTTTCATCAGTCTCAGAGGTGACCCGAAAGGCTGAGAACCACCGCGCTCAGCTTTGTGTCTTACGAACGGGGCGTTGTTTTCAGTGCTAACTCCCGCCTTCGCTGCGCTGTCCCTAAAGAACGGCCTGCAGGTGTTTGCACGGACTGTTCAGAACTCCCTGCCGTGGGAGCGCCTTCGTGGGGGTTGGTCCTCCCGCACCCCGGCTTCCCGCCGCTCCCCCCTGCCGCGCCACGGGCGCCACCGCGCGCGCAGGAGGGCGGTGGCCGGAAAAGGCTCCTGCGAGCTGCGCGTCTGCCTGGTTAGCGCCGTCGCCACCTTCCTCGGGGGCTCAGCACGGGGATGGTGCCCAGTGCAGCCGGGCGACCGGCCGGGCACCACCGGATCGCTGGATTTTAGAGGCTCTAGCGAGAAAAGTAAAACGTTAGGAGCTCATTATACATTCAGTCACTGACCTGCGAATGTGTATTTTATTTCACGTTCAAAACAATCTTAGGCGGTAGGACCATAATTTTTATATAAATTTTATAGAAAAAGAAATGGAAGCTCAGGACCACTTAATTTTGTTTGTTTACCCCATTGTGAGCCAATCAGACTCTTCTGGCCTCTCCGTAAGAGGCCGAGGAGCGGGTGAAATCTGGACATGAGCCGGGTGACTTTGCTCTTGGTAACATCTTCAGCTGTTCTCAGTTCATCCGCGGCGGAGCTGCGTCTTCCCGTCACGCTGCTTGTGAATCCCCGCAATTCCTGATGCCTCTGTGATCGCTGCTAGAAATGCGAGTAACAGAAGGCTTGGGGGAACACGCGTTCCAGATGATTTCTGTGGGCACTGATCTACTAGCTAAATTGAGAAGTACTTTATCAGCCGGTACTTTATCCCCCTTCCCCTTCGTGGTTCGTGATGGCATCGTCAAATAGTTTCGTGCAACACACTGAAACCGTTTTTAGGTAGCATTGTGATATGGATAGTGTGTGTGTTTACCTGTTCAGGTGTGCCCCTGGGTTCGTGATTATTTTCTTAGAGATGTTGAATCAGCCCAGTTACCCATTCTCTGCTTAAGTTTAGGCACCGGGGAAAGGAAAGGAGGTTTTCTGCTTTCAGGACACAGTTGCAGGAGGTTTTGCTCCACTCCTACCTGTCGGAGCCCTCTCTATTCCCGCCCTGGGGGAGATTAAGTGGATGATTTTATATACTAGAGCAATGAGCACTCCTTTGAGATTCTCTAAAACACAGAAGTTCTTTTCCTGAAGCCGCATACACAGAATCACGTAGTTCTACATGGTTTGTTATGAAAACACAGCAACCCCCCTGCCACGCACACATGAATGGCCACTTTTAACTCCTGGTTTTTCCTTTCGTTTTCCTTTCCATATTTCCAAGTAACATGGCTTTTATTGACACTTCTTGATTTTTTTTCAGTATTTACCATTAAATTTTTTCTTTTTTTATTGAGGTAATATGTATATATGCAATTTACCATCTTTACTATTACGTGTATAGTTTAGTGATAATAACTATATTTGTATTATTTCCCCCCCTTCTGGCTTTACTTCTTTTTACTGCTCTCATAACCTTACACATGGCCCTCTCCACACCTCTTCAGTAAAGCCATCGCAATTTCTTAGAGTCACAATTAGGATCTACAATATTGTGCCTGTGGAAAATTTACTCACAGCTGACCCATATTGTTTTCCTTGATTCCTTTTTCTTTCTTTCACAATATAATGACAGGCTCGGTTCACTATCACTCTCATCATCTGAGCATCCCTCCCACGGCCTCTGACCTACTTCTGTCTGGGCTGGTTGCTGCTGTTACGGCATCTTGGGAGGGCCCTTGGCCATCACCTCCAGGCCTGCCTTGGCTTCTCTCTTGGGTAGGAGTCTCTGTGGTGTGGCTGTCATGTCATCTCCTTTCTTGGTTTACCCCCTCCTTGGTGGAGTTCATCTTGTAGTAGCTTCCTGGAAAAGAATGAGTGAGAGGTAAATTTTCTGAGACCTTGCATGTCAAAAGATAGCTTTCTTCTACGCTTACCATTTTGTGAGTGTGGCTGGGCATAGAGTTCTAGGCTGGAAGGAATTGTCTCTAAAAAATCTGGAGGCATTGCTCTTTTGTGTTGTAACTACTAACGTTGTTACAGTCCTGCATTATCATGATTCTTGATCCTTTGCAGGTAACATGTTCCCCCTCAGGACGCTTTTGGAGTCTTTGTCCTTTGTGTTCTGAAATTTTTCCATGATCTAGGTCTGTTTTCCTTCACTGTGCTGGGCACTTGGTAGGTACTTGCAGTTAAACTCATACTTTTAATTCTTGGAAGTTTTCTGGCATTATTTTCTCATTTTAATTTTTTTCCTGTTCCTTTCTTTCTGAAGTCCTTAGTCGAATATTAGTCTTCATTATTTTACCCTTTAATTTTCTAATTTTTTTCTTTACCGATTTTCATCTTTTTTTTGGTTCTGTTTTCTGGGTGATATTCTCAACTGTATCTTCCAAGTCTTCTATTACATTTTTCATTTGTGGGATCCGATTCCTTTTTTTAATTTAAGAGCTCTTGAATTGTTTTCTGGCTTAGTATTCATTTCCTCCCTCCTTCTCTCCCTCCCTTTCTTTTTAAGTCCTTTTTAGAAAATAGTATCCGGTCCTTGATTCATGCATATAGTATCTTCTCTTACCTTGCTGAAGATACTGCTAGGTTTTTGTTCTCTTCTTTGTGTGTTTCTTCAACATAGTCTCTCTTTCATCTCCTCCTCTTTGTTTCTTTTTGCTTGTAATTCTTTCCTGTTAGGGACTTTTCCTCAAATGTCTAGTGATCTTTGGCATCTCATTCTTATTTAAAAGATAGATGCTAAAAAGTTGTTAGGAAGTTGTGTGTGTGTGTTTGAGTTTAGGGGTGGGAGTGCTTGTTAATGGTGGGATTCCTTCCTTCCCATAGTCAACATGCTTTAAAGAGTGGTCTAGATTGTCTCCAATTCCTTACTTGATAGTCACATTTCTTTGAAAATTAAATTTTATTTTTAAGGTTTACATGTTCATAATTTTTTAAAAACTTGCTTAAAATGAAAATAACTAATCCTGCACTGTTTCCCAGCCACGCCCCTTGCTCTTTCCAACTCTATCTATGTAGCTTTCCTTTCAGCATTTGACCACCCTCTTCTCATTTAGACTTACCTGTTGGCTTTTTGATTGTAAACATAAATTGACTTCCTGTTATGGAAGAGGAAGGTTAAGCTCAAAATCTTAGTCCACCACCCCCAGACATACACCAACACCGTTTATCCCCACAATGTTAACTATATGGCTATTTTGTTTAATCTCTCTTCTGTGTTTGAATTATCATGGTTATGTAAATTATTTGCAGATGAGCCACATAATACATTCTGATTACATTTTCTTTGTTACAATTTGGTTTTCCTGAAGTTAATCATTGCTTCACGTTTTTTGTTTACTTTTTTTTAATACTCCCATCACTAATTCAGCCTGAAATGGTCTAATAGTACTATAAAACTTGTCATATGTCAGACACATCAGGTGTTCTATTCATTTGATTTTTTTCCTTGGAGACATTTTTTTGGAGACCTTGATTCTTCTGTTCCAATCTACATTTTATGCTGTCCAGATCTGGCACAGCTGCTAAACTGGGGCTTCTCTTCACTGTTTGAGAATTCCTTTCACTTCCTTTGTCTGGTCCTCTGCCTTGTACATCTCAAGTCTTCCTTTTGCTTGGCCTGTTCCTTCCTTTTGTTGGAGCATATCCTCTGTAGGTCCTGCAAAATATTGCATGGGAAGTAGAAATTTTGTGACCTTGCATGCCTAAAAATGCCTTTATTATATGCAAAGGCTAGATTGATATTTTGGCAAGGTAGAAAATTCCAGATTAGAAACCAGAGTTTGAAGGCATTATTATTACATTGAATCGTAGTTTCTGGTCTTAGTGTTGAGAATTATCATGCCATTCTGACACCTGTGTTGTGTGCATGACCTCCTATATTTGTACTTTTTTTCAGCGGTGGGGCGGGGAATCTTTTAGAAGATTCTCTTTATCCTGAGTGCCCTAAAATTCTATGACGTGCTGGTGTTTTCCCCCACCCACCCTTGGGCTGGAACTTTTCAATCCGGATGCTGCTTTCAGTTCAGTGATATTTTCTAGTACTATTTAAAAATAACTTTCTCTGCTCCATTTGCTTTATCTTTTCTCTATAATTATCCCTAGTTGGATGGTGTACCTCCTGTATCAAACCTCTAACATTTTTATTTAAAAACGTTTCAGTTTTGGATTTTTTGATTCTGTTTTCTGGGAGAACTCTTTAATTTTTTCTTCCAACCTTTCTATTGAAGTTTTTAATTCTCCCCACCTTAGCTTTAAATTTCTAAGAGATCACATATTTTGGTCCCAAATGTTCTTTAATTTTTTTTTTTAAAAATAGCATTCTGTTCTTGCATTTCTTTTTTTTTTTTTTTTTTTTTGAGACAGTCTCACTCTCTTGCCTGGGGCGAGTGCCGTGGCGTCAGCCTTAGCTCACAGCAACCTCAGACTCCTGGGCTCAAGCGATCCTCCTGCCTCAGCCTCCCAAGTAGCTGGGATTACAGGCATGCGCCACCATGCCTGGCTAATTTTTTATATATATATTTTTAGCTGTCCAATTAATTTCTTTCTATTTTTTGGTAGAGACGGGGTCTCGCTCTAGCTCAGGCTGGTTTTGATTCCTGAGCTCAGAAGGATCCGCCCGCCTCGGCCTC